ATCAAGGCAGGTGCTGATATTGTTAGTGTCCACTGTGAACAAACATCTACCATCCATTTGCACCGAACAGTCAATCAGGTAAACATCTGTACCACCTTATCTTTACAAGTTAATGCTCAGATAATAGAATTTAGTATGGAACTTCAATGTATTTGGATATATATATACATACCAATGAATGTGTCTTTTTCCTTCTTGCATGGTGCTGTACAACACAAATAGCTTCAATGAATATTTTGCTTAAACCCTTCACTGTATTTTGTTCATTCAGGATTTAGCTAATCATGGACTATTACATATGTGTGTGTCTTTGTTTTCTGAGGCTGAACTATTACTAATTACTGGGCTCCGACAATAGCTATAGGAGCACATTTGCTACTTCCTACTTGCTAGTGTTAGACCTACAACCAAACACATTCCTAGATGTACTTTAGTTATGATTTAGGATTATTTGGCCCACCAAGTTCCTTTGCAGATCTTTGAATGTCCCAACCATTGGGGTGTAACAGTCTTTTATCCTTGTGCATACTGTAAGTTGGAACTGAGTTATCTTTCCATTATCTATCAGATTAAAAGTCTAGGAGCAAAGGCAGGAGTTGTTTTGAATCCAGCGACTCCACTCGCTGCAATCGATTACATTCTTGATGGTAAGATCATGATGCTCATTTTAGCGTATATGGTATCTTGACAAAGTTGACATGTGTAAAGTTAGGAAAATCCGTCAATGCTACTATACCAGGTTTGGAATATCTATTATTGCCAGATTAGCTTCCAAAAGCCTTTCATGAGTGCAATGCATACTTTTATCACTAGTAGTTGGTAACTGATAGTAAATGATGACTGTTGAGGGTTGATATTGGAGTAAGTACATACTCCATTCGGAGTAGGCATGTGAAGCATCAAGCAGGTTGCTCCCTCCTGTTATTCAGCGTGATGTTGATTTTTTATACCAGCATAACCATTGAGGCAGATTGTGCTGCTGCTTGTGATAATTTGTGACTGTTTTGACCAATGGCACTCTTGACTTTGTTTGCTACGCAGCATGTAGTCAAGTCTGCAATAAAATATTTGAAGTTGCTTTGGCAGACGTTTAACTACTTTTCTCATCAATTCATCAGTAACGTGAATACGTGATAAGCTCACATGTCCTGACATTCTAATTACAATATTTCACTTTTTTTCCATGCAGTTGTTGACCTGGTGTTGATTATGTCTGTGAATCCTGGGTTTGGTGGCCAGAGCTTTATCGAGAGTCAAGTAAAGAAAATTGCAGAATTGAGAAGGTTATGTGCAGAGAAGGTATATCCCCTTGTTTCCTTTCAAGTATTCTCACTCACTGCCCTGAATCCCTTATGTTCAAAGCATTGAAGTGTTAATCTCTTTCTTTCTTTCTTTGTAGGGAGTGAACCCCTGGATTGAGGTTGATGGTGGTGTTGGTCCGCCAAATGCCTACAAGGTGACATGTTTAGATTTTTTTCCATGCTGGCATTTAACTTTAACCTATCTTATGGTACTTGTGTTTAACAATCCTGAACTAATCTTCTAGTCCAGTTAGGTGCTAATATTTTTTCCTACTTTAAATGACAGGTTATTGAAGCTGGGGCGAATGCCATCGTTGCTGGTTCTGCAGTTTTTGGGGCTCCAGACTATGCTGAAGGCATGGTTTCTTCTCAGTGTCATTCATGCTCTAAATTTGAAATTCCATATAGGTTCCGAATCAAATATATGATGCCAACCGCTACTAAAGTTTTTATTGATGATCCTCTTGCAATTCTGCAGCTATCAAAGGAATCAAGACCAGCCAAAGACCTGTAGCTGTACCCGCATAAGGAACTGGACGTGTAATCATTTACTCTGTGCAAGTTTACCAGTGTTGCCATTTGTATAGATGTGTGTCTTGTCGAGCCATACGTTATACTGGAGATGAAAGGGGACGGAGGCAGTGGAGAAATATCCTTTTCTTTTTCTCATTTTCCACGAGGACGCCGTGCACTGCTCCCAGAATGTTGTATTCAATTAACAAACGAGCACAGGTGGCGCATGAACTAGCTAGAGTAGCTTTATCTTTGAAAGAAAAGTGTATTTGGGTCGATGAACCCCTGGTTTTATTCTTGAGGCTCTGGTAAACGATGTAACCATGTTCGATAATCAATAAAAGTGCGCCGTATGGCTTCCTAAAAAAATGCACAGCAGCACAGGATCCTTCACGAAATCCACCCATTTGTACACCGGCAGCTGACTGAGTCTGAAGGCCTTGTACAGGGCATGATTGGAATTTTGCCTTAGAACTGTCTGGAATTTTGGGGATTGTACGTTGTAGCCTATGCAGCTGTTACGTGACTTCTTCTGTTCCCCATAGCAGGAAGATCCGTTTTACTGTTTGCGTAGCCATTCAACTTACAAATTAAGGGTGAAGTTATTCAGTTTACTAACATTTTGTGGGAGAAAAAACTCACGCGTTACTCAACTCGATGTATAGTACTAGTATTGATAGCGGCCAACATGTGAAAACAACAATTTAGTAGCACTCAAATTTACAATTTCACACTATGAGCTGCCGGACTGGTTGATTACAAAAGTGGACGAAATCTGGGCCAGTCTTGAAAAAAAAAAATCTGGACTGGGTTTCTGTGGCACATGGCAGTGTTAATAAGAAACTTAAAAGAATACCCATGCGTTACCCGTGGGACTTTCTTGGAAATGAAGTTTTTTTTTTTTGCGAATATCTTAGAAATGAAGTTGTGATAGACCATAAAAAATGGATAAACTAATGGAAGAATCTAAAAAAAGCTAATAGAATATTAAACCGAATTAGAAGAGAATTTGACGATGGACAAATAAGTAATATGATATGGGTTTGCCTTGTGTGCGTTGATGGATTGAAAATAGTAATTATACTTAGTGAAAGATGATGCAGCACTTAGAAGGATACAATGTGACACTTAGTGCAAGATGATACGGCACTTTAATGGGGGATGGCACATGGATATTGCATGAAGAGATTGAAAACTTAGTGAGGTTTATTTTTATAAGCTGTTGTGTGCCAAACTGGCAATCCACCCGCATCTTCGAGGCTCTGATCCCATCGTCTAAAGTCTAGGAGTAAACACTATTGCCAGTTGCCACCGCACCCGCCCCGCCGCCTCCGACTCGCCCATGATGGCAGGACAAGCCCACGGGTGCACCACGTAAGCCTGCCAACTAGTCACTAAGTCTAGATTGGCTTCACCAAATGATCCACTGATGTCATAAAGTCCTCCATTGGATCATACAATACTTACATTGTTACTGGGCTAAGTCATTGAGCATAATCACTAGACGATCCACTAGGGGTCAACCCTATCATTTGTGAGAGTTGCCCACTTCATGCATCTCCATGCTCTCACTTCTACTATGTTAGGTTGAATTCCTTGGGCCCCTTAATAGTACAACCAAAGAAAACAAAGACCTACTTATACACTACTTACCGGCTGTCCACATGACCGCAACCTATATTGGTTGAGCAGGGGTGGATCCAAAGGGGGGCTGCCGGGGATACAACCCCCCTAATGAGCCTGATTTCTTCATTAGACCACGGTTACTTAGCCTCAAATCACCATTAATCTCTAGCCCTAGCTCTAAATCTTCATTATTTAGCCCCCCTTTGTTCCCATCCTGCATCCGCCACTGGTTGTCCTTAGTCTTGTCATTCATCCTATGTGTTATATATTCATTCAATCACAAGTCTTGGAGCCAAATCAATTGTGACCATTCTCATGTGACTAACTCAACTACATTCCTCCCTACAAGACGCATGTTAGTCACACATACTTATGTTCATAAACACCAAAAATCAAAACCCTATAATGTCCACAAAAGATCTCCACAATAGGGCCTACAAGTGTTCATGGTGGTGGTTTGGGTGATGAACGAGGTGGCAGAAGACAAACGGATGGGGAGAGTCGGGCGTTGGGGCGAGGGGTATCCTCCCAGATTGGGATTAGGGAAGGGTGGGGTGAAGGCGGTGGCGGTGGACACTGAGGTCGCCGATGGCCATGGTGGTGGTCGAGACGGTGGCAACGGGCAACATGGTGAGAAGGAGGAAGACAAGAAAGAAGAAAATGGAGGTTAGAGAATGGCGGGCTTGTAGATTTGGTGGCGGTTGTATTGAGTGGTGGACGCCGTGGCCGGTGACAAGAACATCATGGGCCTAGGATGGCAGCGGAGGGAGGAGGCTTTAATGACGCGCACACATCGGTATAAATAGCAACATGCGGTTTATTATCTTTTTCCACCCCCACTTGTCTTTCATCCTCTTCACCCTCTGTCGTTGCCGCCTCAACCGTCGCCAAAGGCCATCGGTGACCTCACCTCCCACCACCACCACGAGAGCATTGGTCCTATGCTAACGTTGTGCTGCTCATCGCCTCCGCCGCCGACCTCGCTCACCAGTTATTCTCCACTGCTTGGCTAGCGGCGACGCCACTACCTTGCCTCATCTCACCGCCCTTGAACCGCCATCACCACAGGGCGGGCCGCCTTGATCATCCCTCTAAGGCCGAGACATCAAAGAGCCCTCAAAGTCTAAACATGAATCCTAACCCTAATCCCCTTTACCCCGCCATCGCCAGCCTTGATTGTCGACCTTGGCCAGCCACGAGCACGCCACCGGAAGACGTCGCGCCGTGCGTAGCTAGCAGTGCCGTCGCACTCACGTCTAATAAGGACTTGGTTAGTATCTGTGCAAGTGCGTAAGCGCCGGTTAGAGCCCCCCTAACTATGTGTCTATATATACAAGCGACCCCAGATCAAAGAGTGAAGGTTGTTGTGTGCCAATCCACCCGCCCCTCCGATCCGGAGCATTTACATATTTACCACTATTACGGATGGCATCTTACACTGTGTCACTGACATAGTATTTTTTATACCATTCACATCGTAACGATGGTAAATATGTAAATATTCCCTCCGATCCCATCTTCCAAACCGGCAAACCCTAACCCCGCCCGACCACTCGCCCGATGGCGGGACAAGCCCTCGAGTGCGAGAGCGCTTCCCGAACGGCCGGCCGCTCCGCCCTGCTGGGTCGCAATGATCTCTCGATCCGCCGCGAGGAAAGGATGCGGCGCTGCATGGCCGCGCCAGCGCCAGCAGGCCGAGCTCGAGGAGCGCTCGCTCAAGAGGCTGGACAAGTTGTGTCGGCGGCCACAGCCCGCCTCGCCGACCTCGGCCACGGCGAGGAGGCATCGCTCGAGGCCGTTCTCCATGCAGGCCACTGCTACGGCAAGCTCAGCGACCCCGTTTCCAACATCGTCGCCAACGCCCGCACTTATTTATCCGACCCTGGCTTCGCCGCCGGCAGGGCTGGTGGCTTCGCCGAACTCCGACGCCTCGAGGAGTACTCCCTCGCGGGGCTCGTCTGCCTCCTCCAGCAGCGGTGCCATACCCTCACCCGCGCCGAGGCCTTCCGGTGCCTTCTCTCCAGTGACCTCCGCCTCGAGGAGGCGATAGCCATAGGCTCCTCTCTCAATGGTGAACGCTCACCCGCTTCTGTCCCTGCAGTGGATAGATGCATATTGGAATTTAGCATCAGCTATTGCTAGGTTACTATTACTATTCCTGGATGGTCAGGTGATAATAATGATGATGATTTTGGTGATAATAAAGAATTATGGGTTGGGAAATTATATATTCTTTTCAGTTGATATGGGAACTTAGGGTTAATTTCTCTATGCATACCTTCTTTATATTTTTTATATTTCTCTATGCATACCTTCTTTATATTTTATATTTTTTATGTTTCTTTGTGGTTTCATACTGTGAAATATATAGTAATTACCTAGAAACTTCTAAATTCTAATTATATTAAGGAAACATGATGTTAGTATTGATATAAGGTCCAAATTTTGATTATTTTTAATATTCCATTATTGGGAACTTAACCCTACTATAGAAGACGTATTTTTAACACTTTTTTTTAAAATTATTCTTAATTCTAACACTGTTTTTTTTCTTCCAAAAGTAACACTTTTGGCCGCACCTATTTCCAGGGAGCGGCGAAACAACTCTGCCGCGCCATGCATGGCGGCGCGACAGGGGTGCGTACATGGCAACGTCCTAGCCCGCTGGCCGCTGACGTGGTAGGCCTTGCCGCGCCACCCGTCAGGGCGCGACAGAGCGAAATAGAGGCCCGCGGCCCGGTCCCTTTCCTCCCTCTCTGTTTCACTCTGCGTCGCACAGCAGCCGCCTCCGCGCCGCACAGCCCCCGCCGGCGCGCCTCCCCCACCGGCTCCCTCTCTCCCTTGTCTCCTTCTCTCAGTCCCTCCATGTCCCCACTGCGCCGCCGCCCCTCCCCATCGCCGGTGCGGCCGTCGCTTCCCTGTGGCGCGGCCTCCCTCTCTCCCCATCCTCTTCCTCCCCTGCCACCCCCTGTCCTTAACCCTCCTCCAACTTTGAAAGCAGAAGAAGCCCGCCGGCCGGCCGGCCATTGCCACCGGCGGCCAGCTCGTCGCCTTAGGTGGATTGGGGTGATCCTCTTGCCGTCGACCGACCATTCCCGTTGTGGTTTGTCGAGGTAATCCTTTTATGCATTTATTGCTTCAATAGAATTGTTGTTAGCTAGAGTTAGGATTCAAAATTAATCAAGGAAATTAGTAAAGTTAGCTAGATAGGTATAGTTAGTGAAGTTAGTTAGTATAGTTGGTTAATACAATTAGTTAGTATTGTTAGTATAGGTACTAATATAAGTTAGTGTATTTAGTATAGTTAGTTAGTATAGTTAGTTAGAATTGTTGTTATAGGTATTAATATTAGATTAGTTAGTTTTCTTATTTAGTAGGCACGACGATTTGGACGACCTCATGAAGTTTCTTGAAATGCTTTTGTAGATGGATTGTTGTGTTAGAGTTTTTTAAGGAGGAAGTGTTAGGAGAGAAGATGGTATGTTTGAGGATATGGAAGAAGAATTGGAATGGTTTGATGAACCTCCTAGCTTCAGCGATCTTTGTGTCCGTTTGAAGGGAAAGTTTGGCGGTGATTTCACACTGAAGGGGAGGTTTGATAGTGGAAAGACTAGGGCACACTACGTGCTGATGCCCTTGCACGACCATGCTCACTGGTCCCACTACAATAGGGTAATCCAAGGTTCCAATGTGGTCATGGCTGAGGTGGTTGTGGAGAATGGGTACAGGATGCATGATCTCCAGGAGGGGCCATCCTTCGACGGTGATACTCAATAAGAATGTGGGGTTCATGCGGAACCAACTATGGATACTATGGATTTGGATGGTCAGTTGACGCAGGAGTAGTTTCATTCAAGTCAAGTATGTTGTATAAGCAATGGCTTCGATGTGAACGAGTTTGAACGGGAAGAGGAGGAGCAGGAGGAGGACAGGATTGGTGATGTAGTTAGCAGTGATTCAGACGATTCAGATGATGACCAGGGAGGTAGACATGCTATGCCCACACCGGTTGATGCCATGTTAGTACCTATTCATGGTATGCCATTACCAGTACCAACTGATGTTTTGCATGCTATGCCGGCTCAGGGTAGACTAGTCACAGATTTGCCAGCAGATGATACCCCAATGATTCATGGGGTAGAATTAGCGAAGCACAACAGTATGTTCCACCACCACCTTACACAGCGACAGAGCTTGAGCAACTAAGGTCGATGAACGTACCTTTCAGGGGCGTTCTGAACTATAGGGATGTCAGCATGACGGATATGGCAGTTTGTGACACCGGTCTCCAGAAGTGTAGGAAATCATTGTATGACCATGAGAAAGAAATCCTTAGTAATGGTATGATATTCAATACAATGTCAGAGATGAAGCTCTTTCTTCAGGACTATGCTGTGTATCACCATAGGCCGTACAACGTCACTCATTCGGACCAGGAGTTAAGGTACCATGTGATATGAAAAAATGGTTGTATGTGGAGGTTAAATGCACGAAAGAGACAGAGTGATGGCAAATGAAGGATAAATAAAGTGGTCGAACCCCACACTTGCCTAACAAATAGGGGGAAGGAAAATCATCAGCAACTCACTGCACGTTACCTTGCCCGTCATATATTGGGGCTCGTTGATGACAATAACGACATTTCGTTGTCTTCGTTACAATAGTCCATATCTGGATTTGTTAAGTATGATGTGAAGTACGAAAATGCTTGGCGTGCTAAGCAAATTGCCCTGGCGATTCGTTGGGGTAGTTGGGAGGAAGCGTACAACAGGGTGCCCGCATCTTATGTGCAATGCATTACTACAACCCTAGCTTGAAATGGTTTGTGGACACCAGAGGGATGTATTTTTGGGACCCGTTGAGGCATGTCCTCTATCGTGTGTTCTGGTCGTTCGCGCAAACGGAACATGCATTCCAGTTCTGTCGGCCAGTCGTACTTGTTGATGGCACTTTCCTGACAGGAAAGTACAGGGGCACCTTGATGATGGTTGCTGCTGTTGATCCTAAGGACCAGATAGTACCCATGACTTTTGCTTTGGTAGAGGGAGAGAACAATGAATCGTGGTCATGGTTTATGCGGCTTCTATGTGTACAAGTGCTTGGCCCATCTCGCACTATATGTTTAATCTCAGACCGTCACCTAGGGCTTTTTAATGCTGCAGCTGAGCATATAGATGGGTTCCCGCCTCTAGTGCACAGATGGTGCATGAGACACTTTGTCGCTAATTTCTGGCGGCGTTAGAGGAAGAAGGAGGTATGTGACAAGGTAAAGGCTCTTTGTTGTGTACGTATGGAGCACCAGTTCAAGGAGACAAAGAGAGAATTAGACAAGATACTAAATGAAGCGGGAAAGGCCTGGTTAGAGGTGCAGATAGAATAGAAGGCTAAGTGGGCGTTAGCATATGACGAGGGGGTTTTAGGTATGGCATCATGACCACTAACTCCTCGGAGTCTTTCAACCATGTATTCACCGGAGTTCGATCGTTGCCTGTGTCTAGAATTGTTGAGTTCTCATTTCATAAGTGCAATGAATATTTTGTCAAGAGGTGGGAACTTGCGTAGAGGAATATAGCTGAGCAGGGGCGTTTTGAAAAGGCCAGAGCAGAACATTTGAAGGAGGCCGAGGAATTAGCCAAGCAGCACACAGCCGAGCCGTATGGACCCCGCCGCCATATCTTTAGTGTATGGGGCAAGGGTGGCACAAGGTTGGGCGGCAAACGTTATGGTGGATGAAACTACCGAGTTGATCTTGAAAAAGTAGAGTGCAGTTGCAACGTCCCTCAAATCATGCATGCACCTTGCTCTCATATGATCATGGCCTGCAGGGTTCACGGGTATAACTATGAGGATCTGCCATATATGTCACCTTTGTATCTCCGTTCGAACACCGTTATTATTTGAGAGATGAGCTTGGAGCCATACCTTGACCCGACACAGTGGCCACCTTATCATGGTTATGACTACGTGCCGCATCCGAATCTAATGAATGTAGGCAAGGGTAGGAGGAAGAAGCGACTCAAGGGGGACATGGATGCTATGAGTGGGTACGACGAAGACATGTACGGAGGGGGAGACTTTAACGAGACCCGTGGCAGGAATCTTTGCTTCGTTTGCAAAGAACCTGGTCACAAGGCTAGCATGCATAGAAGACAAGGGCAGCAGGTGCATATAGCATACATTTTATTATATTAACGTTAATTGTTTGCTATGCTATTTAAAACAACTATGTTAGTACATTGGAACGTTGGAGCTATGTTTATTATGATATATGTTTATTCTCTAATTTTGCATAATAGTTTATTCCTTTTACATTTACTTTGTTTTTATGTACTAATGTTCCATCATATTATAGTACTCTTAATGTTTGTTCTAACATATCCATTTGAAATTTGAACCAGGATGGGGGATCATCATCCGTAGTACCCCATTCTTGAGGTGCACTACGACAAGGACCACCGAGCCAAGCGTCTGTCGGAGCTTCAGGAGGACTTGGTACCTCTTAGACTACGCATGCACCAGCCGCACCGCTGGGACGAGCATACAGCGTGCCGGCTTCCTTAAGATCGTTTGGGTCTTCAACACTAGGCTACCGATCCTCGACCCTACACTTATCACTGCTGTTGTCGATAGGTATGATTTAATACACGTTTGCAACAGTCCACGGTACCCATATACTCTTGGGTCGTAGGAGTTCTTTAGGATGACATGATGCACTTATACTCGGACACCCATATACTGATGGAACATGTAGTATGTCAAGTAATGTCGAACTTATGTATTGATGAACTTGTGTCGTAGTTATGACTTGTTGAACTTATGTCGAACAGTGGTATTGTCGAACTTGCGATGAACTTGGGACGTGTACAAGTTAGTATTGCTAAACTTGTATATTGATTGTCTCGTGCACTTAACCTTCCTGTTGACTTATTTATTAAACCGACACGACGAAATAACTTGGCTCATATGAGAATATAACATAAGTGACTTGTTCCATTTGCTGCCGCTTTGACCGCCGCGCCATGGCTGGAGGAGCGTCAGCCTTGCCGCGCCATGGTGGCTGGCGCGTCAGACTTGCCGCGCCGTGGACAGTGGCGCGGCAAACCCATGCTGGGCGCTGGTCGCAATGGTGAGAACAACTTTTT